TATTTGGACAGTCTGCTCCATAATTTTCAGCACCGGGAAAATTGCATAAGAATACTTGAATGCAAATACTGAAAATTTCTTGTGGAAGCTGTTGAAAGACTTATTCTCACTTGCTTTTTTCCAATCTACGAGCTCCTGCACAATGGAGAGGCAACTTATGCCCGCGGTATTTTCATCAATGCAACCAGAGTGATATAATTCTGCCCGCTTCATTAGGATTCCGGTACTTCAAGCTTTGCTTTTCTTCCACCAGCGAAAAGCCTAAGTAATAATTTCAATAAAAATCCAACAATTTTATTTCCATACAACCTCTTTTCTGAGGTCTAACTTTCGAAAGCAGTGAAATTGCGCAATAAAATATTTCAAGGCTTTTTGCTAGATTATCCTCCACTTAACTTCCCCATCCATTGACGTTCATAGTTTAGATCGCAAAGAAGGTGATAGCCGGGGAACAAAGTTGGGTGCTTCCATGCAAGTAAAGAAAGCTGTGCGTCCAGAGGTTACACTCCATCAGTAACTTTTGCACACCACTTATTGTTGGTGGTGTTGTAGCTGCCCAAATAACATTATATTCCTAAGGAAATGGGTTATTAGATTATCTATGGGCATGGTAATGATAAAGAGACTGAAGTAATACCATCTCCAGGGGGAACGAAATCCCGGTGAAGGTCTACAGATGCTCTTATGCCACTGCACACATTGAACCTACTAGTACCTCATTTAGGGAGTTTTGGAATCAAATGAGCTATCCTGGCGTTCTGAGGTAACTGAACTGACTGACCCTTGGGTCTCCCATCTTCCTCTTCTAGCGTGACCACGTCTTAACAACTGACTTTAGTCTTGTGACATAAAGGACATAAAGGTAGACACAAATAAAGCGAAACAGAAATGTACATCTTTGGCATGCAAATTATTTAGTTTAATGGCATTCTGCTCTTGGTGACACTTCTGCGGTCTCCGTTCTGGCCTATGTTGAGTTACGCATCCCCTTTTGTAAACAGAAATTTCCCAGGCTCTGCCATCGTGTCCATAATTAACAGCAGCCTGAAGGTGGCACCCGAAGACTCAGATACGAATGCTGCATCATTCATTCTACATTCTAGCTTGCTCCTGCTTTATTTCATTTTAGGAGACCCTGCCTAATTGTGAGGCAACTTACACTCCTGACGTTCATATGCACGCTAACTAGTCGACAGCAGCTCTTCCACCACTGTAAACTTACTACACTTTTTGCTTCACAACAGTATTATCATCTCCTTCGGTTTTCACGCCGCCAGTACAATGCAGCGTACAGTGGCATGCTACAATTCCATTAGTCGGATAGTAAAATAAACAAGTCACGAAAGTTTTACCACCAAAGTATATATTAGGCCATTCTTGGGATGCCAAACTTACAAACGTGTTCTCCCACTTCTACCATAAATCTCCATTTTTGAGGACAACGGAATCTGGCGTTATGAACATTCCAAAGCCAATCCGCATTTTACTTCAACGGTGATTAATTTTCACATCTTAGATCGAGAAGTAAGTGGAAACTAGGTATGCGAAGCAATGTGGTAAGAAGAGGGATCATGGCAACTATAGATGAGTGGCTAACCATTCAATAATGTGTTGTTAGGATGCCCACTTGGGGTGATTATCACCGGACATCCTGTGGGTAAAGCAGATTACCCAATCTCATTATATGTGTGATTACTACTTATCCTGGTTGATGACATGACCATTTTGATGTGGTATTTTGAATTCTACAAGGAGTCTACTGCTTTGCAGATGACAAGCTGAAGGAGAAATTGGTAAAGGGTGAAAGAAATCAAATCGTATCAAGTTGACTAGATTGAATACTTAGATGGTTGATCCTGGCCACAGACGCAATGCTTTAATTTAATGCATTACACTGTAAAGTTATTTCTTAACACATGTTTCTAGTTTCCCAAGACTGATGCACT